GGTGGAGACAATACTACATACAAGCCTAGTTTCTAGCAGCAAATGAGTATTAGACTGTGTCTGGATGTAGAAATAGACTAAGCTTCTTTCTATTCTAAGAAGGTTCACTGGCGTCTGGTCGTTGTCAGTGTAAGAAAATACTATATACTGTGTACAAGAAAAAACTCAGAACACTGTAGTCATTCCATTCACATTCTATTTAAAAAAAAACAATCAGCATAGAAATTCCCATTATACACTTACCAGAATTCTGGATCCGCCACGTTTTTATAAACTGAGTATCAGGAGGTATAGATTCCCCTTCTCCTATGGTGACGTCTTCAACAAAGGACATAGAGGGCACACTGATATTTGGGCTCTCAAAGTCATAGTAAGCGCCAATTGCTGCTTGTAAGTTCCTATAGATAAAAAGACAAAAGACTTCAGTCCTGTCGAAAGGATATTTAAATGAGCTGTCAAAACAAAGGAAAACCCTTTCTAAGGGTTGACCCCAGAGCCCAAGGCTCTTACCATCCAAGCCTTCACTCATCACTGTTGAGAAACAATGGAAAATCAGGACCAACATGTGATGTGGGATTCCCCTCTTTATATATTCCTATCTGTGAATATGTTTCATTACCATTGGTTAATAAAGGAGCAGCCTGAAGATCAGAAAGTAAAACATCCTCACTGGTCAGCCTTGTAGACCTCAGGCAGTGGTGACACACACCTTTAATCCCAGCAGTCACAGCCAAAGAAACTGAGTGGAAATGGTGCACACCTTTAATCCCCGCCCTAGAGGGGAATATAAAATGGGAGGAAACAGCTCTTACACACAGTCTCATTCTGAGACTCCTGGACGCTGAATGCCATTTTGGACTGAGGTGGAGGTAAGAGCCAATGGCTGGCTGTTTTGCTTTTCTGACCTTCAGGTTGTACCCCAATATCTGTCTCTGGGTTTTTATTAATCATGCTACACCATAATACTCATGTGTCACTTTCCCCTGAAGGTACTCCACAGAGGTTATCAGACCACTATTGCTGTGGTGGAATATTACTTTGAACTAGGCAAAGATGTGTAAAATGCCTTTTATTTATTTATTTGAGAGAGTTTATCTGTGTAGCTTCGGAGCCTGTTCTGGAACTAGCTCTGTAAACCAGGGTAGCCTCAAACTCACAGAGATCCACCTGCCTCTGCCTCCTGAGTGCTGGGATTAAAGGTGTGTGTGCCACCACCTTCTGGCTTGTTACATTTTTCATGCAGCACTTGTTCAATAATGCAAAGATGTGTTGCTGTACCTGCTTAAGGCACCTGACTGATCTAATAAAAAGCTAGGCAGTAGAGGAATAGGTGGGATTGGTGGGCAGACAGAATAAGTAGGAGAAATCTAGGCTCAAGATGAGAGAAGAGAACAAGGGAGAAAGAAAGAGAGATGCCCAGGACCGGCTAGCCAGCCAGCTAGAAACAGAGGAAGCAGGAAAGTAGAATATACAGAATGAGAGAAAAGTAAAAAGCCATAGGCAAAATGTAGATGAGAGAAACAGGTTAAATTAAGTTTTAAGTGCTAATGGGACAAGCATAAGATAAGGCTGAGTATTCATAAGTCTCCATGTCATGATTTGGGTGCTGGTTGGTGGCCCAAAAGCCTGCTACTGCTACAGCTCTAGTTATGCATGTATAGGTGTGGGTGTGTGCATGCCATGGTGCACATGTAGCAATCAGAAAGAGCCTGTGGGAGTCAGTTTTCTCGCTCAACCATGTGATTCCTGGGGATCGGACTCCAGTCATAAGGTTTGGTGGCAAACGTTCCTATCCACTGAGCCATCTGGATGGCTTAGTTCCACTTTTTTTTTTTTTATTTATTATGTATACAATATTCTGTCTGTGTGTATGTCTGCAGGCCAGAAGAGGGCACCAGACCTCATTACAGATGGTTGTGAGCCACCATGTGGTTGCCAGGAATTGAACTCAGGACCTTTGGAAGAGCAGGCAACGCTCTTAACCACTGAGCCATCTCTCCAGCCCCCCTTAGTTCCACTTTTAAAGCCCTCTATTGACTTAGTTTTTTGGAAAAGCAATCCATGCATATGATACAAAATCTGCAACATAAAACATGCTACCTCTTCCCTCAACATCTGTACACCAGGACAGTGTTTCTCCCAGTGTCCACATGCACACAATGCAGAGACAGTGTGGGTTCTTTCTTCCCACGGCAGATAGCATCATACACTGCTCTTGCTTTATTACCTTGACGCTGGGTCTTGAAAGTATTTCAGTGATGAGTAGTCTCACTGTCTATTGTAGCTGTAGTCATTAGCCAATCAACTACTAAGTGTTTCTAACCTTCAATTTTCCCAGTTTAAGCATCTACCACCTTGTAAGCAAGCATATTATTGAACAAATCCCTTTATGTGATACTTCTCAGAGGATGATTTGTATTTTCATTATTGGACACAAACTTCCTTCAACAAAGATGTAGAAAAAGGGCTGGAGAGATGGCTCAGCGGTTAAGAGCATTGCCTGCTCTTCCAAAGGTCCTGAGTTCAATTCCCAGCAACCACACGGTGCCTCACAACCATCAGTAATGGGGTCTGGTGCCCTCTTCTGGCCTGCAGGCATACACACAGAATATTGTATACATGATAAATAAATAAATAAATATTTTTTTAAAAAAAAAAGATGTAGAACAATGCTCACACTACATGTATGACAGCATCTGCCTCCCTGCTCATTGATGGTCAGTGTTTCTTCACTGTGGTGAACTTCTGCCAACTTGTTAAGTAAAATATCTCACTGACATTTTAAAATAATTTCCTCTTTGCTGCGTGTGGTGGTGCAAGCCTATAAGCACCCGGGAGGATGCGGTAAGAGGATTACAGTTGGAAGCCAGTCTTAGCTAAATATGGAAACTGTTTTTTAAAAAACATTCTTAAAAGAAGTGATCAGCTGGACAGTGGCAGTCAGGAGGCAGGGGCAGGCAGATCTCTGTGAGGCCAGCCTAGTCTACAAAGCTGGTTCCAGGACAGTCAAAGCTACACAAAGAAACCCAATCTTGGAAAACCAAAGATAAGTAATTAAGTAAATAAATAAATGAGAAAAGACTACTTTTTTTTCATGTTTAAGAGCTTGGTAGTGTGGGTTGAGGTGCTGGAGAAGGGGGTCAGTGATTAAGAGCACTTCTTGCTCTTACAGAACTGGGGTTCAATTCCCAGCAACCACATGGCAGCTCATGGTAACTCTAGTTCCAAAGGATTCAACACCCTCTTCTGACTTCTGAGGGCACTAGGTATGCATGTGATGCACATACAGACATAAGGGCAAAACATTCATACACATAAAATAATCTTTAAATTTTAATAAGAGCTATTTGTGGGTCTGAAGAGATCAAAGGCACTTCTGGAATGATATTAAGGGATTCTTGTTTATCACCAGTTCTCACAGAAAACAGACCAACCTATAACCCAACTGTGAGGCAGTGAGCTCTTTTTACCATTTACAAAAACAGCAGGAAACAAGCTTGACAGTCCACAACTGCACAACGTACACCTAGGAAAAGCAAATAGTTTCTAGCTAGGGCCTCTGTGACTGCTTCTCCAGGTGTTTGCAGCTTCCAGAAAGGTAGGCTATACTTAGAGCAAGCATCATGTGATGGTGGCCATACTAACCAGCTGCATGTCTGTCCTGTGCGTCTGGAGCAGAGTTGGGCCAGGGGCCAGTCTACACCTGCCCACTCTACTGCTGCATACCAGGCAGTTTCCTTTGTAGATAGATAACATGAGCAAAGCCATGAATATGTGACTTGCTAAAGCTGAGGTGGCGCACACAGACTCAGAAGCACACAGCAATCAGTCCTACCCTTACGGACTGAAGATAAAGTGAAAGAAAATTACACTTAGTTTTCACTTCGCTCATCTGGAACATTTTATATAAGCTGTGTCCTTTGTTTTATAAAAGATTGATTTCCTGCCTCACTCTCCTATAAGCGACCTGCACTGTCTTCTGCTATAGACTCCAACTGGGAGGGATAAAGTCTTGCACAACGAAGACAAACAGCGACTCTCACTGTAGTTTGTGTATCTCACCCTGAGTATGCCATCAGGTCAGGTCTCCCTGAACTGGAGAAGAACAAGCCAGGCCACGCTACTTACTAGGCAGAAACTCCCCTTTGTCAAGCCCCTCCCATGCATCCTAATTCATTGCTCAGCCATACCTGCTTGGTACAGGTAATTTAGCCAGAAAAAGACCAAAGACCTCATAAAGCTCAAACTTAGTAGTAAACTGGAATACCGAACAGAGGTTGGAGGAAGTGACAGAGCAAATGATTTCCCAGAGACAGGTCACCAAGCATGGCTGCACATCTATCTCCTCAGGGTTCCAGTCACAGATTAGTGCCCTGGGCTTGGGCAGATCCAGAGCAAGACCAGATCAAACTGGAACTGTTCAGTGCCAGCCTGTCTCCAAACAGCATACTCTGCTGTGGCCATGGGAAAGGAAGAGCACTGGCTTCCTCAGTGCTTCCAGACAGAAACAGCCTTCAATAACGATAAATAAAACAGCACAGGGCCCAAGAACAGTTTGAAGGGTCCAACACTGTACAGATCCTTAACCACATACATCAGATGACTAAAGAGGTACACTGCAATGTCACTATCACAAAAAAGAAAGAAAAAAGAAAAAAGAAAACTTGTTGTTGTTGTTTTGAGACAGGATCTCACTATATAGCCTTGGCTGTTCTGGAATTCAGTTAAGTAGACCAGGCTGGTATCAAACTCAGAGAAACACTTGCCTTAGTCCCAAGCACTGGGATTTAAAAATGTGCTACCATGTCTGACAAAAACAACAACAACAACAAAAAAACTTTAAAAGTGTTGTGGAATAATCTTTTCACACACTGTGAAGATCTGTTTAATAAAAAGCTGAGCAGCCAATAGGTAGGCAGGATTTTTGGGACACAGAAGACGCTAGGAACAAGGGAAGAGAGACAGAGTCACACAGCCAGATGAAGAAGAAACAGTATCCTTTTTTTTTCCGGCGGTGACGACCTCCCTACGAGAACATGCCTCTCGCAAAGGATCTCCTTCATCCCTCACCAGAGGAGGAAAAAAGGAAACACAAGAAAAAGCGCCTGGTGCAGAGCCCCAATTCCTACTTTACGGATGTGAAGTGCCCAGGATGCTATAAAATCACCACGGTCTTTAGCCATGCGCAGACGGTAGTCCTGTGTGTCGGCTGCTCCACTGTCCTCTGTCAGCCTACATGCGGGAAAGCAAGACTGGCAGAAGGATGCTCCTTCAGGAGGAAGCAGCACTGAAAAGCACCGGATTCGAGATGAGTGGGAACCATCCCAATAAACACATTTTGGTATAAAAAAAAAAAAAAAAAGAAGAAGAAGAAGAAACAGTATGGACAGTACAGAGTAAAGGTAATAAAGCCATTAGACAAAAAGTAGATTGATAAGAATGGGTTCATATAAGTTATAAGAGCTGGTCAGTAACAAGCCTAAGCCACTGACCAAGCGTTTATAATTAATAATCTGTGTGTTGTGATTTGGGAGCAGGCAGGAGAGACAAATGTCACAAGGCAAGGTGCTATTTGAAGGCAGATTTAAAAAAAACCTTTAAAAAACCATAATATCCCAGCACTCGGGAGGCAGAGGCAGGCGGATCTCTATAAGTTCGAGGCCATACTGGTCTACAAAGGGAGTTCCAGGACAGGCTCCAAAGCTACAGAGAAACCCTGTCTCGAAAAACCAAAAAAATAAATAAATAAATAAAAATAAAAATAAAAAACCATAACAAACATGAAATAAAAAGGCACCCTGGTCCATAAAGCACATGGGACCTGTAGGAAATGGAGACAGCATCAGGAGCTAGAAAGGGCCAGCCTTCATTATACATCATGTTCAAGATCAGCCTGGGCTGCGTGGACTGTCATGTGAGCTCTTACTCTTCTGGCTTTCTGGGGGCCACCACCCAGCTCCCGGGTGAATCACACATGGAGGCTTACCCTTAGTTATGAATGCCCGGCCTCAGTTCGGCTTGTTTCGTGTCAGCTTTTCTAAACCTATATTAACCCAAGTACCTTATGCCTCTGGGCTTTTATCTTTCTCTAGGTCTGTATACCTTCCTTTGCTTGTTTCTCAGTGGCTTGTTGTGTAGCTGGGTGACTAGGTGGCTGGCCCCTGATGTCCTCCTCTCCTTTTTCTCCTGTTACTGCTCCTCATTCTTCGCCTCTTCTTTTATCCTCTCTGCCTGCCAGCCCCGCCTATCCGTGCTTCTGCCTTGCTATTGCCCGTTCACTTCTTTATTAGGACCATCAGGTGTTTTAGACAAGCAAAGAATCACAGTTTCACAGTTAATCAAATGCAGCATAAACAAAACTGACACATCTGAAAATAACACTACCTAACATGAGACCCTACCCACCTTCCATGAAAAGGGAACTTTAGATCTACTAAAGCAAACAGAAACATCTAGCCAGACAGGGCGTTAATACTTATAGTCACTATACTCAAAAGGTAAGATAACTGTCAGGCGTTTGGCTAGCTTGAGCCTAGTTCTCAGCATGAGACCCTGATCCCAAAGAAGGACAGAGGGTATGCACAGGACTGGAAAGATGGCTCACTGGGTAAAGGTGTTTTCTGACAGGCCTGACAACTTGAGTTCCATCACCAGAACCTGCACGGTGGGAAGGAGGACTTGACCCCCACCCCAAATCCTCCTCAGCTTCCACAGGCAGTTATGGCTACCCTGTATCCACACAGGTGCACACAGTAAATGCAGGAGGGAGAAAAGAAAAAAATGTAAAGAATTTTTAAAATATTTGAATTGAGTTGAAGAAACAGTCTAAGGTAGAGTGCTCAATATGCATGCAGCCCTAGATTTAACTCCCAGCAATAACAAACACCAAACCACTGAGCACCAAACAGATCCATTTCAATGACGTAATCTACAACTCTACAATCACAGAAGTGGCAGTGTCACCGTGCTGTCACTGTGCTTTTATCCTTTATCCCCAGTCTGCCCTCTGCCCTCAGAACCACACGCCAAAGCACACTGTAACAGAAATGAAAATTACTCATCAGCAGACCTTCAAACAGAAACCACCCTGGGCTATGTGGCCACACCCCATGCTTGCTTCCACTGGAGCAGATGGGGAGTCTGAGGAGAGAATAGGACAGATGGCAGGAAGATGGAGAAGTGGAGCCCTAGCCGACAATGCCTGTGGCGCTAAAGTAGGAATCTCAGAAGGAACCCCTCCACTCTAGACCAGGTTCGGGCTGCTGCTGACCTACAGAACTGTTCAAATGAATTTGCATATGAAACCACACTGTTATACCAATCTACTGCAGTGCAAACGCTAATGCAAGGTCTGAGTGTGTTGCTGTGTATTCAGGGGCTCCCATCAAAAAGCAAGTAGTAGGACTAACAAAGACTGCATACTATTGACACGAGGCTGCTCTCTGCTGAGTCACTTCCACCACACACCTCTGCTTCCAAGAACTCCTATTTCCATCAAAACTGAATATTTAGACTAACTTCTTGTTTTGCTCTCTGGTTTTGCTTTCCTGAAATGCTTTACAATTGCTGTGCTTATGGTGATACAGTTTCTGGAAATGCTGAGGCACTGCCCCATGGGAGACATGAAAATGTGGACCACAGGGGCTGGAGAGATGGCTCAGCGGTTAAGAGCATCGCCTGCTCTTCCAAAGGTCCTGAGTTCAATTCCCAGCAACCACATGGTGGCTCACAACCATCTGTAATGAGATCTGGTGCCCTCTTCTGGCCTGCAGGCATACACACAGACAGAACATTGTATACATAATAAATAAATAAATAAATAAATATTTAAAAAAGAAAATGTGGAACACCCTAAGCACCCTGAGACGGCAGTATGGAGCATAGCTCAGACATAGCGCTGCTCACAGTTTCAGTTTTTCATGAAATTCAGACAGTGTAAAATAGAGTTATATGCCAGGCGATGGTGGCGCACACCTTTAATCCCAGCACTCAGGAGGCAGAAGCAGGTGATCTCTGTGAGTTTGAGGCTAGCCTGGTCTACAAGAGCTAGTTTCAGGATGGCCAGGGCTACACAGTGAAACCCTGTCTTGAAAAACAAACAAAAAAAAGTTATGTTAAGGTAAACCTTTAATTAATCAGTTTCTGATCCTAAGCCTGTAAAAAAAACCATTTTCTAATAAATATAAAAAACTTTCGGGTTCGATTTTATTTTTTAGTGGCCAAAAATTAACTGAACACACAGTCCATTCTATAATCTAGTTCTTATTGCTGTACAAATAGGGAATATAGTAAAGGAAGTTTTTGGTGTGGGAAGTCCCTCTGTATACGTGTTGCTTTTATTGATTAATGAATAAAATTGTTACGGCTGGTAGCTTAGCAAAATAGAGCTAGGCAGGAAAACTAAACTGAATGCTGGGAGAAAGAAGGTGGAGTTGAAGAGAAGCCATGTAGCCACCTACAGGAGACAGACACACCAGAACTTTGCCAGTAGGCCACAGCCACGTGGCACTACACAGATTAATAGAAATGGGTTAATTTAAGATGTAAGAGCTAGCCAATAAAAAGCTACAGCTAATAGGCCAAGCAGTGATTTAATTACCAGTTTCTGTGTAATTATTGGTTTATTTTTTGTTTTTTTTCAAGACAAGGTTTCTCTGTAGTTTTGGTGCCTGTCCTAGAATTAGCACTTGTAGACCAGACTGGCTGCGAACTCACAGAGATCCACCTGCCTCTGCCTCCCAAGTGCTGGGATTAAAGTTGTGTGCCACCACCACCTGGCAGATGAACTAAATTCTATAGAGCACTGGTTCTTAAACCTCAATACTGTGAACCCAACTATAAAATTATTTCATTGCTACTTCATGACTGTAATTTTGCTAGTTATGAGTCATAACGTAAATATCTAATATGCAATATATCCAGTTTGCAGTGCTCGTGGAGGTCATGATCTACTGCTATAGAGTAATAAATTCAACCCAACCTTACCAGACACTAACAAATTAGGACACAGGACATCCAACTCTGACCTCTTAACTCCACAGCAACTACATCTTCAAGTACTAGGCTGAGGATAAATGATAGCTACAAAACAGGTACTTTTAAAAAACTATGTACAAGGGACTGACTGAAGAGATGGCTCAACAGTTGTGAGCACTGGCCGCTTCTGCAGAGGACCCAGGTTCAATTCCCAGCACCCACATGGCAGCTCACAACTGTCTGTAACTCCAGTTTCAGGGGATCTGATACCTTCACACCAATGCACATAAAATAAATAAATTTAATAAAAACTATATACATGCTGGGAGTAGCGGTACAGGTTTTTAATCCTAGCAATCAGGAGGCACAGGCAGGATCTCTATGAATTCGAGGCCAGCCTGGTTTTACATAGCAAGCTACAGACCAGCCAGGACTATACAAAAACTGTCAAAATACAAAAAGCAAAAACAATAAAAATGCTACATAAAGAAGTGGATAGATATCTCAGAAGTTAAGAGCACTTATTGATTTTGCTAAGGACCCAAGTCCAATTCCCAGTATCCACAGTGTGTTCACCATCATCTGTAACTCCAGTCCCAAAGGCTCTAACACCCTCTTCTAGCTTCCTAGGGCACTGCATGCACATGGTGAACAGACACACATGCAGGTAAAACACCATAGGCAACCACAGGTAATGCCAGTTCCAGGGACCCTATACCTTCCTTCTGTCCTCCACAGCACGGACACTCATGTGTACATGTCAACAAACACACACATCGATAAAAAGCTGGGGTCAGAATGGCTTAGAAGGTAGACACTTGTGGCCAACGGTGATGACCTGAGTGTAATACATAAAACACATGTGGTGGAAGGAAAGAAACAGGTTGCACTGATTTCCACATGAGAGCTTTAATGCGCGCACACACACACGCGCGCACACACACACACACACACACACACAATTAAATGGAATAAAACAAAAAATGTAAAACCTATATACTGAACCCAGAGAGGCAAATTGGATAAAGTACATGCCAACTCCAACCCTCTCAACCTGGATCCCACAGTAGAAGTACAGAACCAACTCCTGGAAAGTTGTCCCTGACCACCATAGGCACACTGTGGCATGCACCCCACCAATAGTAACATATTTTCCTCTAAAGATAAAAACTGGGGATATTATAACTCAGTGGATTCCATTCTCAGCACTGCAAGTGCAACAAAAAGCAGCCCCTGTACAGGCCTGCTATGCACAGACTTAACACCTTCCCACCCCAGGCAGCACACACTACAGATGACAAGCACCAAGGTTTCAGACACATCATCTGATTTTAGCATTTTCTAT